ATGGGAAACCCCAAATGTGGAAAATAACAATCACTCTAACCCAAAAAAAGACAAAAGAATAGCCACTCACTAAGAACTATGTTTCTAAGGCTCTTTCAAAAAGAGCTAGGTTTGGGCCAGAGGAATCTTGAGGAGAAGAGCAGGTGCGCTTCCAAAGCATAGATACTGCAATTGAGAAAATTAATCAACAAGGAACAGTTTATGTAAATCAGATTCCACTAACCGCCTGGCCTTTAAAGCCTGAAGGAAGATCCAGTTTTTTAAGGCCTTCTGAAAGACTAACAGATTTGGAGAATGTTCACAGGGCCGGCACTATTATAAAAAAGTCATGCCGCTCAGGTCTCATAGGATGACACTTCTTTACCAAACAGACCTGGAGCATGTCCACTCTGTGGTCCACAGGTGTCTATCAGGTCTTCAGGGCCTGTGATATGGAGGACTTTAAAGGTGATGACCAGCACTGGAATTGCACCTGAAAAAGTACTGGAAACAGCTTAGCACAGAACGTTGGTGTTAAAAAAAAACATACTTTGTTATACCCAAGCATTTGAGAACCAACTGCAGCTTCCAGATATTTGTAGGCTATTCAGAGCTTTTTGGTCAAGCTGACACTATACCAGGGCTAGGACATTCTGGTGTGGATTTTAGCACTAATGATGAATTCAAACATTCTGCAGGACTTGAAGTTAGTATAGCTACCATCTGCAAAACCATCACCAAATGGAAGAGTCCATTGCTGTGTAACAGATAACCTGATCCTCCTCCTCTTTCAGGTTGGCAGTGAACCATCAGATCTAAGTTGGAAATTGAATCTATTCATTTCTGGATTCATGGTGTTATAAACTAACCAAACAGGCTAGGATGAGATAAGTTAAGCTACAAAGAAGTTAACTGAAGTTACAGTCAACTATTCTTTATGCACACTGTTAAGGCAATCACTAAATTACCAATACTGTTTCTGATGGTCTCCCATAGAAATATTTTTCAAGTTCAGCCAAAATGGTTAGTTGTTTTTCCCTGCTGTGACCAAAGCTCACCAAAAGAAATGGTTTTCTTTGATTAATCCTTCAGTTTTTGGCTCACTAAAGCATTATTTTTACTTCCTCAAGTCATTTTTATTATTTCTATTATGATTCCTATCATCATTATTCATCTATTACAATTTTTCACTTTTTTTGGCAGATATTGGTGGGAGAACTGTGAGGTCTTCACTTCATGGCAGCGCCGTGCTCTGAGAAGTGATTCATTTTCCTGTGTCATTTGTGACAACACACACATTAAAGAAGTGTCCAGGGACATTTTCAAAATGAACCGCTATCCAAGAGATTTTGTGAGCTGTGGAAAAATCAAGAGTCTGAATTTGTCAGCTTGGAAAGAATAAAACAGCAGAAGGATGAGACAAGAAGTGTGGGACAGGACCTTGAATCTGAAGGGAGGACCAGGAACCCAGGTGACTATAGCCCCCTTTTCTCATACTCTAGTCTAAAACATAAAACAGAATGCTGCTAACCAGCTTCCATTGTCAAGGACAGTTCATTTTATGTGGAGTACTATAAACCAAGTGCTGAGAATCAAATAGAATGGGGCAATAAACATAAAGTAAATATATAAAGTAAATATATATGTATAAGTAAATACATAAAAAAGTTGAGGTTTCCATGTATTTGTTAGAATCCTGACTAACTTCCCCAACTACCACATTTTCCTGAAGTGAAAAACATTTGGATCAGTTGCACTATTTCCAGATGGGAGCATTCATGGGGTGGGGGAGGTAAAAAGGTCAGGATAACCAGTCAAAGGCCTTTCTTAATGCATCAAGTGAACAAAATTCTCAGTCCAACTCACCTTGTAACTCACCTTACAAGGCTCTTGTTGTGGGGAAAATAGGAGGAGGAAGTGTGTTGGATATGTTCACCACCTTGAGTTATTTGTAAAAGTAATAAAGGCAGGGTATTAAATAAATAAATTGTGTAAGAAAAGGGTGAGGTTTGATCCCACAGTTGTAGGTGCCCTCTTGACTTTCTTGACTCTCCCTCCAAGAATGCCCTGTTGGGAGACTCTTGTAGAGAGTTGGTGCCACAACTGAGCACTATTATGTTGTCTGTCAACTCTCCCACAGGGGAGGAATCTTGAACATACCCAGCTTGGTCTGTAGTTTTTCTACAGACCAAAACTAGCACTTCGAAGTGTAGCCAGAACCTATTGGGAACCATTGCAGAATCAGTACATATTATGTGTCAATAGGAGCTTTCATCTGCCAACAAACAGGCTACTTCATTTTGCAACAACAGCTGTTTTTGAATAGTTTTCAATGGTAGCAGCATGTAAAGAGCATTCCGATAATCTAATCACTACCCTGAGCTTCTGTTCCATGAAACTATTTTGTTAGCCAACAATGAGAACTCAAACATTGGATCAGGTGCACTGTGTTAACTTTGACCCTTAAGAACAATCTGAATCAGGAAGTAGACATTTTCATTCTCTTTAGAATAAGCTTTTTACTGGGGTTCTGAAAAATTTACAGACAGGAAGCTGGATTTAAATACTTCTCTACAGTTTTGTATACAAAATAATGGCATTAGTTGGGCATATAGCACTGTCACTTATAATCTCTGGGTATGGGTGTGGGTATACAATGTATAAGGATTAACAGTTTGTTGCTTAAAATCAGTGTTGTATTCTAATAGTTTCTTAGGCATAGCTGGGAGAAAGATCTGAATATTTTTTAAAGTGAACTGTTGATAGGATCACATTATTAATAAAAATGGATAAATACAAAGATCTGTGTCAATACTTTTTGAATTCAGAAATATAAAAAGGTAATATGTTTATAGGCTGCTGTTTTATATGGTACAATATTGTTTGATTAGTATTTGTTCTTCTGGTTTTATATTAAATATATCTCCCTAAAGCACAATAAGTATGCATTGACCCTCATTTCTCTCCAGATTCAAACTTTCTGGATTAGAAATGTGCAAATAAGCATATATTTAGAATAGAATAGAGCTGGAAGCGACCTTGGAGGTCTTCTGGTCCAGCCCCCTGCTCAAGCAGGAGAACCTATACCATTTCAGACAGTGACTGTCTAGTCTCTTCTTAAAAACCACCAGTGATGGAGCAACCACGATTTCTGAAGGCAAGCTGTTCCACTGGTTAATTGTCCTCACTGTTAGGAAGTTTCTCCTTAATTCCAGGTTGCTTCTCTCTTTGATCAGTTTCCAACCATTGTTTCTTGTCCTGCCGTCTGGTGCTTTGGAGAATAATTTGACCCCCTCTTCTTTGTGGCAGCCCCTCAAGTACTGGAATATTGCTATTATGTCACTCCTATTTCTTCTTTTCTTTAGACTAGCCAAATCCAAGTTCTGCAGGTATTCTTTATATGTTTAGTCTCCAGGCCTTTGATCATCTTAGTTGCTCTTCTCTGAACTTTTTCCAAAGTCTCAACATCTTTTTTGTAGCGTGGTGACTAAAATTGGTTGCAGTATTCCAGGCATGGTCTTACTAGGGTTCTATAAAATGGTACTAAAACTTTGTGTGATCTTGATTCTATGCCTCTGTTTATGCAACCCAGGACTGTATTAGCATTTTTGGCTGCTACTACACACTGCTGGCTCATAGTTAAGTGATCATCCACTAAGACTCCAAGGTCCCTCTCACAGTTACTGTTTTTGAGCCAGGTCTCGCCTAACCTGACAAAAAGTAAAATGCATCAGTTTATAATGTGTTGAACTCAAAGGTTTCCTAGGGAAACTTTTGAGCATTTTTTAAAAAATGCAAGGGATTACAGTATCTTTGCACAGACCCTTTCCTTGTCACCATTGCTAGCATCCTTGTCTGACCTGCGGTAAATAACACTGGCAAAGTTCCAGAAATTCTGTTCTATTTGTCTCAAGCATAACAAGAAGGGAATTGCAACAGTATTGCATGCACTCTCCAAATAGAGAATCTTCTATAATTTAATTGCCTTGTATGATTTGAAAAAGTGGATATCTTGAACATTGCAGAGCAGCTATTTTAATTTGGCATTCCTTTCGCATTTCTCCAGATTAAGCATGAGCAATGGCAGTGAGGGAAAACAGCTAAAGCAGATTAAAGAACGCTTTCTCAAAAACAAAAAATCCAGGTTGCTGGCAGAACTTACTGAGATGTTCTTCTATAGGGAGAAGAGAGAGAGAGAGAAAAAAAATAGAAAATAATGGCCTCATAGGAACAAAACAGCCAAGCTCAATAAGACCAATAGCTATTCTGGCATGCCCTCCATGTCACTCTATTCATTGTATTTCACCAAAATTCTCTCTCCTTTGAACAAAATGTTGAAAGCTATTCTGGTAAGACTGAATTGCTGCTTGCAAAGCAAAATGACAAGGGTGCTTTAATGGGATAAATTGAATAACCTATCTGGAGAAGAGGATCTCTAAGTGAGGGAAGATAAAGAGGGTTATACAGAATCCTTATTAATTTTCCTTTCAAAATTTTTTTCAGTGATGAAGTTGAGGCTGGTTTAGGAGCAGAACATTGAACCTGCCCTTGGTGCTGACCTCAACACCATATTAGAAGGCAGCCTCTAGCAAAATTGGCCTCTCCCAAATACCCCCCATAATGACCCAACTGGGGATGCAGCAAACTATCTTCCTTTGTTCAGCAGCTCATAGTGATTGCAAAAATGCAGGCAGAGGCTACTTAAGATCAGCATTAGGGGAAAAGATGATCCATAAAAATGTTATTTAAGAGTTCAGATAAATGCAAGATCCACTCTGGGTCAGTTCAGAGGTTTACTTTTCTGAGTGTTTGGATTTGTGATGGAGCCCATCTTCTAGGAACTTCTCTCTGCGCTTTCGACTATTGTCTGTGTGGTATTTATATCGTGCCTGTTGTACATCGCTTTTTAGATGTTGATTGGGGTGTTGATGGCTGGCTATTAAGATCAGCAACTTTATGTCGTGATTCCGACAGATAAAACTCTTCAAAGAACTTCGAAGCATTGTTTACCTTAAAGAATCTTTATTTTGAGTAGCATAGCATCGGCAGTCCATAATCAAAGCCAAAAACTAAATTCCCCTCCCCTGAGCACATAGTATCAAAGCACAATTCCCTCCTTTAGTCATAAATCACATTCCCCAATTAGCATGAAGCGCGGGATTCCTCTCCCGTTTTCCAGCCCGCCAATTTCTTATCAGTTCTGGTTACAATAACCTTGTCTCTCACACTGGGTCCAGCGTTGTTATGTCTAGCTGGACTCTCGCTCACGTTCCCCCTCCCAGCATCATCTAACACTAAAAGCAAAAGGTAAAAGATGGCTACATTTCCATTTGTTGTCAATGCAAAAACATCCGATATTAGCAGCGTTGACATCCGGCCCCTCTTACAAAAGGATAAATCCTGTAATATAAACAAAAGCACAGGTTAGGGATTGCTTTTCGGTTTGTTAGGGTGTTTCTTATAAAACCTAGTAATGTGTCTATCAGCTTTCACATCGCTAGACTTCAGCGAAATGGCTTCAGACAACGAATATCCTTTCCATCGTACTAAATACTGCAATTTTCCTTTAAAAATTCTAGAATCAAGAATACGCTTCACTTCATAGATAAAAAGCCTTCTTTTCCCACACAGCCCACCTCCTCTCGCAGTGAATTTTTTCGAGGTGTAGGCACAAGGTTGTAAGGTCCCACTTTGGTTCTTTTGTAGTAGTACAGCTCCGATGGCCACGTCGCTGGCATTGGCTTGAATTACAAAGGGCTGCCCTGGGCAGGGATGCTTTAAAACTGGTTCAACAGCAAACAGTCTTTTTAAGTTTTCAAAAGCAGTCTTACAGTTCATAGTCCATGCTAGTGGTTGGCCCGATCGCGGCTTTCCTCCCCCTTTGCCCATTTTTAGTAGTTCTGTGAGGGGTAGGGCAATTTTGGCAAAGGAGAGGGTGAATTGATGGTAAAAGTTGGTGAATCCTAGGAAGCTCTGGAGCTGTTTGTGAGTCTTTGGAGGCTGCCTTTCAATTACAGCTTTCACTTTGGTTGGGTCCATTTCAATGCCCTCTCTGGAAATTCTGTAGCCAAGATAATCTAATTGGCTCTGCTGAAACTCACACTTTGATAGTTTGACATAAAGTTTGGCATTTAACAGTTTCTTTAGCACTTCTCTTACTAATTTACATGGTCAGTCATATTCATGCTGTATATCAGGATGTCATCAAGATACACCAGAACCCCTTTGTATAAATGGCAATGCATAATCGAAGCAAAAAACTAAATTCCCCTTCCCTGAGCACATAGTATCAAAGCACAATTCCCTCCTCCAATTAACAGTCATAAATCACATTTCCCAATTAGTGTGAAGGTGGGCTTCCTCTCCTGTTCTCCAGCCCACCAATTTCTTGTCAGCTCTGGTTACAATAACCTTGTTTCTCATGCTGGGTCTGGCATTGTTATATCTAGCTGGACTCTCACTCACATTCCCCCTCCCAGAATCACCTAACTCTAAAAGCAAAAGGTAAAAGATGGCTACATTTCCATTTGATGTCAATGCAAAAAATCCGATGTTAGCAGTGTTGACACTTTACAGTGTTGCAGACTTTATAGTGTTACAGACTTCAACTCCCAAAATTCATTAGCTAGGAAACTTGCTGGCTGGGAAATTCTTTGAACTGAAATCCATATATAAAGTTGCTGAGGTTGAAAAATATTGAGAGAGGGAACAGAGAATGAAACACTGGGAATAGTTATGGGGGGGGGGAGAAGGTTCAGAAAAGATGTCACATACCCTCTATAGCACCCACCCATTCACACAAATATACACATGCACGCACACATCTTTGCATTCTTTTCTGGGGAATATTGTTTTACAACTTCAATATGGCAACAACCTTCTAAGGCTAAGTGACATCCCAAGGAAAAGCTCATGAATGCAAATTTATAGATTCCAGAGTTGCACCAGAAACCAAATGCATCTTACCTTCACTGATCTATTCAGGAGTCTTTTTCCATGGAAAGAGGCTGAGCCTTGGGATGGCATTGCAGTTGACAAAATTACGTGGATACTGATTGGCTCGGAAAATGAACCGAGGTACCTCGCGGATATAAGTATTGTCACAGATGATGCGTGGCAATGACACTGCAGCAAGAGCCTGTCGCTGGGCTGCAGTAAACACTCCACGGTTCTCCCACCAGAACCTGGAAAAAAACAGGAAAATTGTCACATTGAAAAACAGCCTCCCAAATTTACAGAAATTTTTTTGCTGGAATGAAGCAGAACAGAATAACAGAGTGAGTTGGAAGGGACCTTGGAGGTTTTCTCGTCCAACCCTCTGCTCAGGCAAGAAACCCTATACCATTTCAGTCAAATGGTTGTCCAATCTCTTCTTTAAAAACTTCCAGTGCTGGAGCACCCACAACTTCTGGAGGCAAGTCATTCCACTGATTTATTGTTCTGTCAGGAACTCTCTCCTAAGTTCTACATTGGTTTTCTCCTTGATTTTTTTCTGTCCATTACTGAAACCATTAAAGTGCATGTTATTTCAAAGAACATTCTTTATTTCAGAAAGCTGTCCTTTAAATTTATTTTTCAAAAACCCACTTGTCCTTAAAAGCAATTTAAAAATTGCTTTTAAAAATTAATTTATACAGATAGTCCCCAGCTTACGACTACAATTGACCCCAAAATTTCTGTTGCTAAGTGACACATTGTTAAGTGAATTCTGCCCCATTTTACGACCTTTCTTGCCACAGTTGTTAAGTGAACCACTGCACTTGTTAAATTAATAGCACAGTTGTTAAGTGAATCTGACTTCTCCATTGATTTTGCTGGTGAGAAAGTAGCAAAAGCTGATCACACGATCCTGGGACAGAATCAATCCTGTCATAAATAGGGATGACAGGGACCACGGGAATGCTACGATGGATGTAAGTGTGAAAAATTATCATGCCACTTTTTCAATGCCATTATAAATTTGAACGGTTACTAAATAAACTGTTGTAAGTTGAGGACTATCTGTATGACATTTAATTTTAGATATTTTTATTAGAATATGTATTTTTGTAAAAAAAATGACTTTGCTTTTGAATTTTCCTTGGTAAAGAAAATTTATGAACATAAACAATTAAAATTAAATAATTAAAATTTTCAGAAACTTATTCAGATTTGCCCCTTTTTCAGGTTTGATCTTTATTTTTTCCCAAGAAAATATTGTCACTATATGTACAGCAGATAATAATCAGCAATGTCTTTCCAAATTTTCAAATATTTCACTGAAAATTTCCCAGTTTCACTGCTAGTTTATTTGTAACATGTAAGACATTTAGAAGCTGAATCAAATCATTGGCTCACTTTACCCTATAATAGAGTAGAACCCAAAAAGCAGGGGCTTCCAAACATTTAAAATATATTTTATTTACTTAAAAAGGAAAATAAGATTTCCCCCTCAAATAATTACTAGCTGTGGTAATTATTCAACAGAGTCTTATGAAAACAAAGGAATGAACAAGAAATGTAAACAAGTGTAGATGCATCTTGTGAACAAAACCATGAACACCTCTAAAAGTTACTAGTCCCTAGGAGGATTTTTTGCCTGGTGAATATTATTGTCCACAAGATATGGTCAAAGAGTCAAGATGGCAGCTACAATGATGATTAGGGAACTGGAGGCTGAAACTTAGAAGGAACGGTTGCTAGAATTGGGTATGTCTAGTTTAATGAAGAGAAGGACGAGGGGGGACATGATAGCAAGGGTTGCCACAAAGAAGAGGGAATCAAGTTATTTTCCAAAGCACCTGAAGACAAGACAAGAAGCAATGGATGGAAACTAACCAAAGAGAGAAGCAACCTAAAACTAAGGAGAAACTTCCCGACAGTCAGAACAATTAATCAGTGGAACAACCTGCCTCCAGAAGCTGTGAATGCTGCAAAACTAGAAGTCTTCAGCCATTTGTCTGAAAAGGGTTTCCTGCCTGAGCACGGGGTTGGGCTACATGACCTCCAAGGTTCCTTCCAATTTTTATTGTTGTTGTTGTTGTTGTTATTATTATTATTATTATTATTATTGATATGATTGAAACTTCAAACCATTTTTTAATGTCTCATATACATAAAATAGGCTGGAGTTTTGATTGCAGCATTATGGCCACAATTTTGATTTTTTTTAAACCAATCCTGAGGAGTCTCCTGATTTTACTCTTTCTGAAATATTTCAATAGATTCCCTGCTGTTTTTCATTTCTTCTCTGATCCTTTTCATTCACCTTATCCCTATCCAGTTTTGTTCTCTCCTCCTCATTTTTTCCTACCCTTCATTTCTAAAGCTAATTATTTCCCTTTCCTATTATTTAGCTTGCCTTCTGGGGTTGTGGATGTTCCATCACTGGAGATTTTTAAAAAAATAGACTGGACAGCCATTTGACTGGGGTGGGATAAGGCTCCACTTTGAATAGGGGGCTGAAGTAGAAGACTCCAAAGTCCTTTTTAGCCCTCTGATTCTATGACTCTATTTCTCTTTTTTAAAGTTTACATCAATTTTAATCAGTAATTATTTATTTGGGGGTGATATCTACAGGGTGGAGCGAATTCCAGAGATGGTTTCAACTAGAATTGGTAACCCTAGGTCAGTGGTGGTGAACCTATGGCATGGGTGGCAGAGATGGCACTTGGAGCCTTCTCTGTGGGCACACGTGCCGTTGCCCCAGCCTTGCCTCCCCTGTGACCCCCTCCTCACCAGCAGCCCTCCTGGAGAAGAGTCACTCCCAAGTGTGGCCCACACGGAGCAGTGCAGCCAAGGACATGGCAGCCAGGCAGCGTAGACAAGACTCTGCCCTCATGCCCCATTGCGCACAGTTGATGCTGCGGGGCATGGGCAGAGGCCGTGGCTGCCATGGCACTGCTGGGCAATCTGCAGTGGTCCCAGGGGGAAAAATGAGTGGCCCTGCGGGCAGGTGGGGTGGGGGTGGAGCAGGGGCAGGGCATGGGGTGGAGTGGGGGCCGGGCCAGTTTTTGGGCACTCGGTCTCAAAAAGTTTCACCATCACTGCCCTAGGTTAATATGGGAAACTGAACAAAACAGAGATTTTTTCCTGTGTTTTTTGTGAATATAGTTTTTTTTTAAGGGTCCATTTTCTTTCCAGGTTAATAAAGTGTTTGGGAAAGCTGGGAACTGAACCTTATTCATTCAAAGCATGTCTTCTGTCTCTGAGTAGCAACACAACTTTCTGTTTTTCTTTATTGTAGTGAAACAACTTTAGGCCCATTTGTTATATACTGTAGAACAGCGGTTCTCAACCTGTGGATCGCGACCCCTTTGGGGGTCGAATGACCCTTTCACAGGGGTCACCTAAGACCATCGGAAAACACATATTTCCGATGGTCTTAGGAACCGAGACACTGCTCCTCTATCCGTCTCCACATGGCTTCGAGCTGGGGGCCGTTACAGCGCCAGATTCGTTTCCATCGAGCATCTACTAAGGGAGGCTGCGCTGCTTTGCTGCCCTTTCCGCAGAGGAGGCTGAACTAAGCTCTGCTGGCGCTGTCACCCTCTTGGCTCTCTCTCTCTCCCTCTCTCTTTCTCTCTCCCTCTCCCCACCTGGGCGCTTCTCCAACCAGGCTGGGCAGAGCTAGTGGAGCGGCCTTCCTGCCCCCCTCCCTGGCCAGCTGGAGCCGGGCAGGCCGGCAACCCTTGGAAGTGAGACGAGGACAGGCGAGGCACGCTGAGCCCCAGGTGCGGTGGGTGAGTGGGTGGCGTCGGTGCACGCTTGGAGAGCCCTTAGGGTTGGGGGTCACCACAACATAAGGAACTGTATTAAAGGGTCGCGGCATTAGGATGGTTGAGAACCACTGCTGTAGAAGATTAAGTGGCCACAATAAAATGGCAGGTTTTATTTGCTCACCTGTCCCCATCACGAAGGTTTTGGAACTGTTTCCGAAAGATACATGCCAGCAGAGGCCCAACTCTGCCATTCCGAATGAGGGGCTCAGCCACTCCCCCAATCCAGAGATCGATGTTCCTGGGCGTCCCATAATGCCGAATGAACTTCTTGGCCAGCTGAGAATTCTGGAGGACCTGGGCCAGATCACTTTCATTGTGAGGTTGTGAGAGGCCACAGAATTGTCTCCAGGCATTATAACCTATAAAACAAGAATGGTGGTCAAGACCCCCTTAGAATCTGGAACAAGATTATTACAGATGCTGGAAAATTATGGAGATGTCGCAGGGTTGAAAATTAATAAAGAAAAAACTAAAATGTTAGTTAAAAACATGTCCAATTTACAAGAAACTGAGCTAGTAGAAAAAATCAATATCCAGACATCTAAAAGAGTAAGGTACTTAGGGATCCAACTGTCGGCAAGATGTACTACACTCAAAAGAGAAAATTATGACAAATTAATAGATCAAATTATAGCAGACTTAGACAGATGGAAAAACCTGCAGCTCTCCTTTCTGGGGAGAATAGCGACACTCAAGATGAATATATTTCCCAAATTACTCTTTTTATTTCAATGTGTACCAATTAAATTAGGCAAGGATCTTTTTGAAAATTTAAACAGAATTACATCCAAATTTATCTGGCAAGGTAGGAAACCGAGAATCAAATTAAAATTATTACAGGATGCAAAGGAAAGAGTAGGGCTCGGCCTCCCAAATTGGGAAAAATATTATCAAGCAGCAATATCGGTATGGATAAAGGATTGGATACATTTAAGGAACAGAAGACTACTGGCATTAGAAGGCCATGATATGCAAATAGGGTGGCATGCTATAATGTGGGACAGGAAATATAAGGCTCATCAGTACTTTCAGAAACACCATATTAGACGGGCATTATTAGACATGTGGAAAAAAAATAAAAAATGTAATTATATAAAAATTCCCAATTGGCTATCCATATTAGAGATATTCATGCACCCCAAATTCATAAATTTAGGAAGAGTAATTACGTATAAAGATATCTTAGACGTGAGTGGGGACCTGAAAACAAGGAAAAGACTATCAGAAGATGGTATAGAGTTGGAATGGTGGGCATACTTACAAATACAGTTGAGATACAGAAAAGACAAAAAAGAACCAGGGATAAAATTAGAGCATACACAATTAGATAAAATCCTTCTAGGAAGAGAAGATCAAATGATAAAAAAGATATATCAATATTTATTAGAACAAGATTTGTTAGATGAACAGGTAAAAGAAACAATGTTAATCTGGAGTAAAAATGTTGGTTATAGTATTGACCTAGATAATTGGCAATCATTATGGGACAGAAACAGGAGGTTAACACTAGCCACCTCCTACAAAGAAAATTTATACAAGATGTTCTATAGATGGCACCTTCCTCCTACAAGGCTAGCAAAAATAGATAAAAAAACCTCACCGACATGCTGGAAGTGTAGAAGGCTCCCAGGGACTTACTATCACATGTGGTGGGAATGTTCAAAAGTGCACAATATTTGCAATTGGATAAAAAATTGGCTGGAAGAAATATTATTACAAAAAATTGATTTAAAACCAGAAATCTTCTTATTAGGGATTATTAATGATAAACTCAGCAAAGCATCTTTTTACTTACTATTGCATATTTTAACTGCAGCAAGATTGGCAAATGGAAAAGAAAGGAAACCCCCACTGAGGAAGAAATAATAAATAAAAATTTATCCTGCGCCAAAATGGACAGGTTAACTCTAGAGATTAAAAATAAAACTGAAACAGAGTATTATGAAATTTGGAAAAATTTGTACGATTGGTTAGAGATAAGGAGGATCGCTGAGATGATTATAGTTGATATTATAAGGACTTCTTATTAGTACCTATATTAGGACACAACTGAATGATATGTAAATACAACATTGATGATTGAAAGATGGTTTATCAAAAAATTTACAGATGTTATACGCACAGTTTGTTATACTCTGTCCTGTTATAGAATGTTTTTTAAGTTTATGTTTTTCTTTCTGTAACATAAGGTAATACTAATAGCACTGTTAAAGCCAGGGAAGTTGAATCATGTCCATTTTTGTTTTTAAAATGTACATTTAATAAAATTTGTTATAAATAAATAAATAAAGAAAGAAAGAATGGTGGTCAAGAGTTCTGCTCATCTGAAAAATGATGTTCTCCCTAGTATCATTCTATGTTGCAATCTCAAAACATCTTTAAGGTTGAGCTGTAATTTCCCACATTATTCTTGGCTATTTGGCAGCAATTCACAACCTTTGATTTTTGTTACAAAATGGCAACACTCTACTCTTGTTACCTGCTAGACCGTGATCTCGGCCACGCTGCATGTTCAATGCTGGCAGATCCAATCCAAATTTTGCAACTTGTTTGAAGAGTCGGTCTCGCAGAGCCTCTACTACTATCTGATCTTGTCTCAGTTGTTTGGCTGGTGTACCTATTTGGCCTCGCAAGATGGGATCGATGCCTCCTGGAAGAGAGAGGAAATAACATTGAAAAGCAATGCCCATCTATAGATATCAGCCTAGCATTTGAGTGGGTAGCCTGAGAGGTCTTCACAGCTGAGCTGAAGAACTCTGCTGAACCAGCAGAAAACTCAAGGAGTATAAAATTTGCTGATTTCTGGGCAACTCCAATCTTTATGATGATAGGGAATATTAAGGACAAAAATTGGTGGATTCCCTTGGATTTCTTATTTCTCCCATCAAACATTACTGCACAGTGGAAAAAACACCCACTGAATACTGTCTTTGTTGTGGTGTGAAACTGAGACGAAGAGGAAGCAATCACTAGATTTTGACAACTAAACTAGTTGATTTAGCTATCAGTCAAAACTCAGTCAAATTTTCATATACGTTTTGTGTAGGTGCATTAAAGCAGAGACTACTTTATTATTCCCATTTTTTAACCTTATTTACAGTATCTTTAAACATTATTTAATCTTAGAAGATTAAATTTATACATAATTTATATGTCCACCCATCTCATAGATATGACTTTGGGTAGTTAACAAAAATAACAACAAAATAAACAGTAAAAACACCAAAATTTAAAAAACAACATTAATAGCATAAAAGAGCAGCTGAGGATATTTATAGCAGTCCACATTCAAATCAGCCATGAAGCGAATTCATCCATACTGTCGGGGCCCCAGGCTAGATGGCAAAGCCAAGTTTGTTAAGGTCTGATAAAAGACCAGCAGGGTCAGGGCAAGTCTAACCTCAGAGGGGAAGATACTCCAGAAGATGGGCACAATGGCACAAAAGTCTCTGTTTCTGGGTCAGATGAAATTCTCCTGTGGGATGGGACCCAGAGCGTGTTATTCCTTTTGGATCTAACAAGGTGGGTAGACACCAGTGGAGAGAGTAAGTAATCCAGCCCCAAGTTATGAAGGGCTTTAAAGATAGCCGCCAGCACCTTGAATTCACCCAGAAGCATACCAGTAGCTAAAGAAGCTCCTGAAGCAATTGTGTCTCAGCTGCCAAACATCCACAACCATCTGTGCCATTGCAATTTGTGGCAGATTACGCTTCAACATACTTTTCATGGGCAGCCCCATGTAGAGCATGCGGCAGTAACCCAATCAAGAGGTGACTAAGGCATGAGTTACTGTGAACTGGGCCTCCTAATCCAGGAATGGACACAACTTGTACACAATACAAAACTACGTAAAGGGCCTGGTGGATACAGCTACCATCTACTCTAAACGGCACCTGCGAATTCAGGAGAACGCCCAGATTGTGCTACCCAAGAACTGACCAGATCCGTTTCAGCTTCATTGTTTGAGATCAGCCAAAATTGACCTCTTGCTGGGACTTACCTTCTCTGATAACTCTCCATGTAGCAAAGAACTCATTTTCTAAGGGTGTTTGACTCACAACTCGGTAACGGCTGTCTAAGCGAGGCACAGTTGGCCGCACTGAAGTATGTCCAAAACGGAAAGCATTGGTAAAGACGTTAGAAATTCGGGGATCCACAGAGTCATTGTAGCCTCTGTAGGAAGGCAGAGCACTAGAATCCCCCAGTAGGGCAGGTATATATTCTGTATAGGTGATTTTCTAGAGCAAAAGGACAAAAAGAAGAGTCAACCTATTGGAAGAAAGCAATTAATTAGTGATGATTATCACTAATACTACATTGAATATTAGAAGCAGAAGATCAGTCTTCCTCAACGTGATGCTATGAAGTTTGTTCTTAAATATGAGTGTTTTGTATTACTAATTCGGCTTCTATCACTTTTGCAGGCTTACAAGACAGAATACAGATAGTCCTCGACGTACAACAGTTTGTTGGTGACTGTTCGAAGTTGCAAGGCACTGAAAAAAGTGACTCATGACTGTTTTAATACTTATGATTGTTGCAGCATCCCAGGGTTATGTGACTCCTGGCAGCTAATTTATATTTATGAGGATTACAGAATCCTGGCCTCATGTGATGACCTTTTGCAATCTTTTGATAAGCAAAGTCAGTGGGGGAGCCAGATTCTGTTTACAATCGTGTTACTAACTTAACAACTGCAGTGATTCACTTAACACATTTGGCAAGAAAGGTCATAAAGTGGGGCAAAATCACTTAACAAATGTCTTGCTGAGCAACAGAAATTTTGGGTTGCATTGAGGTCGTAAGTTGAGGACGACCTGTACTTTAAACTCAGCACATGGATATTATGTCAGCAAATGTTTAAGACCCTTTTTCTAAATCATGGTGCTGGGCTCACTGAGGGAGGAATTATTACCAGATCTAAACTGTTATTAACCAGCTTTTTGAAACTGCACAACACATGAACCTTGTTTCACACATGTGCCTTATAAGAATGCCAACACCAAGTTCCCAGTGATGTGCACCTTCGGTAGGGATGCACTACAACCCTCAATGGTCAAATCCTGGCAAGTCAAGCTGCCACTGAATGGGGAAAGCCATTCCTTGGAGAGAGACATTAGCTGGGAAAGCCTCATTCAGACCCACAAGGAGTAGTCACGTGATCAGATTCAGATGCTTGGCAACCAGCATGTATTTACGATAATTGCAGCATCTTAGAATCATGTGATCACCATTTGCAACCTTCTCCACCAGCTTCTGACAAGCAAAGTCAATGGGGGAAGTCAACATTTGCTTAACGATCGTGTGAGTCACTTAACAACTGCAGTGATTCATTTAACAATGGTAGCAGAAAAAGGTCATAAAATCAGGTGCTAGTCACTTAACCACCCTGCTTAGCAACAAAAATTCTGATTCTAATTGTGGTTGTAAGTCGAGAACTACCTGGAACTAAATAAATACATTTAGATGGCAAGTGTCATGCTCAGGCCATTCAGTGTTGCACCCTAATGATCTTACTCTATAGGGCTGGTTACTCTGGGCTTCAAGGAGGGGTTAAGCCACTTAAAACAGAATTGTTCCTTCATTTTGTGCAAAACGGCCATGGAACTATTCATCCCACACCTGCATCATGGCTCCCAAGATTTTCCGGGATTCCTGATAGAGTTCTTCTCCACTCATTTGTGGGTTCAGCCTCTTCAGCTCAGTGGCCAGACGGTTGTGCTCTCGCATGAAAAGAGTTTGCAATACGATCAGCCCTGGCATGTCATTAACTCGATTGTCACCTTTAAAAATCAGAATAAGAAATCAACAGAAATTGCATAAGAATATTTTGTTCCAGGTGAGGAATCTGAACAAACAACAAACAGACATTTGGGGAGGGATGTCTCCCAAAAAATATCTTGTGTAGATTTTCTTCCGTGACACAGTTATGCAAATGAAGGGAAAGAGTTAACATATTGTGCAAATAATCCCAGCCAGCATGCAAATTAGAGGAAGTTAATTTAAGATTATGCAAGGCTATGTGAAGCTAAGCCAACTCTCTGCAGATCATCCACATTGTCTAAATCAGGGTTTCTCAAACCTAGCAACTTTAACATGTATGAACTTCAACTTCCAGGATTCCCCCCCCCCCTCATAAGGCTGGCTGAGGAATTCTGGGAGTTGAAGTCCACACATCTTAAAGTTGATATGGTTGAAAAACACTGGTCTAAATGGAAGCAATAGGAATAATCATTGTCTTGAACTGTTGGCAGAGATGATGCTACTGGCCCCACAAAATTAAGATCTCTCTAGGCTTCCTGATTCCATTTTACTATTACAGCCCCACCCAGAGAGAAGAGACAGTAGATGGAGAATGAGCAGAAATGAAAGGGCTCCTTTCCCTGACTTCATCAGCTATAACATTGAATCCTAATGTGAAGCAAATGATGATGATATGATATGATGATGATATGATGATGATCCGTTCAGTCGAGTCTGACTTTTGGTGACTCTGTGGGCCAGGTCTCTCCACATCTTCTGATCCTGCACTATTTGAGTTTTTCTATGCTCTGGCTGGTGTCAGCTTGATGGTGTCCAGTCACTATGTTCTTTGATGGCCTGGCTTCCCTTAATCACTAAGTCTTCCAAACACAATTGCTTTCTCCAGTGAGAAGCAAAAGATAAATGGATAGACGGATGGACAGATGTATAGATAGACAAACAGATTCAATCAATCTACGTTGTGGAGGATAATCAAGATTATCACTGACCCTTTTGCTAAAACTCTAAGAGATTGGGAACTGCTGGTTCATGGGAGTGTTTACTCCAGAGGAGGGGCTGACTGAGTCAGCTATATCGCAGGGTATGTAAACTGTGAGGGTTCCCCACATTGTGGCTATGGGTGGATGGAACAAAAAATAAATGACCAAACATGCATCATGATGTCACAACATGATTTACATTGCAGTATTTGTTCCCGATGCCAGCAAAAAGTATGAATGACTAGAGTTTGCATTGTGACATTGAAATGCACATTTCACCATTTATACCAGATGGTCCTTATTGCTGTTTTTATTTTTCATGAAATGGAGTTTGCTGTGGCTCAGGAAATACATGACTACTATCACATTTTCAGCCCAGTTCCTTACAGGTTATTTATTTATTTGAGAGCCAGTTTGGTGTAGTAGATAAAGACACCAGGTTAGAAACTGGGAAACAATGAGTTCTAGTTCTAGTCCTGCCTGAGGCATGAAGCCAGATGGCTGACTTTGGACCAGCCAGTCTCTCTCAGCCCTTGCAAATCACTAGCAATGCTGAACCACTCTTAAAAATATTGACCAAGAACTCCCTTTGTATACTGTAAAACCATTCAGGTTTCAGGGAATGCCCTGGTAAACAGGCAAGTCCCTAGCTGTTCTGTAAAAATCTACATTGAAGGGCTTATCTCAGGTCCATTGGAAGCCCATTCCGAAGGTCTGGTGCTATCACCATAGTGGCTTGCTGACAGATCCACATCCAAATAACTTCTCTCATAGTCAGCAAGCCCTCTTTAACGGGTTTCATGCTTGGGCAGAAGTCACCATAGCTACTTAGAAGGTGCAAAGCATAGAGCTTCATCTGCAGATCTACAGGTGGCCAAGTACTTCTCTCAAAGGCCTTGCACAACCCTGGTCAGATATCTAAACTCAGGTACTTTGCTCTTTGCACAAGAGCACCCCCTCCCAGCTTTTTTCCAAAAGTTTCATTTCGCCAGAGACTACTAATGATAAAGAATTGGGAAGTGAAAACTCTTAAATGAGTTACAGCAGTTCTCCAAGTGGCAGCAGTCTTCAGATCAGCTTTAGCAGAATAAAAGAGTTGGAAGGGACCTTGGAAGTCTTCTAGTTCAACCCTCTGCTCAGACAGGAAACCCTACACCATTTCAGACAAATGGTTGTCCAATCTCTTAAAAACCTCCAGTGAGGGAGCACCCAAAACTTCTGGAGGCAACCATTCCAGTAATTAATTGTTCTAACTGTCAGGAAATTTCTACTTAATTCTAGGTTGGTTCTGTCCTTGATTGTTTTCCATCCATTGCTTCTTCTCTGCGTTCAGGTTCTTTGGAGACTAGGTTGACCCTCTCTTCCTTGTGGAAGCCCCTTAGATATTGGAACACTGCTATTATGTCACCCCTGCTCTTTCTTTTCATTAAACTAGACATACCCAATTCCTGCATCCGTTCTTCATATGTTTTAGCTTCCAGTCCTCTAATAATCTTTGTTGCAACTATTTCTTTTTTGTCTTCCTGTTATCCCCTTCACTAGCTGTGACTTCAGTTTGCAAGAGCAGCCCCGAAGAAATGATGCACCTTTCAAATAACTTACCTGCCAAAAAACAGGGAATGTTGAGGGTTTTGTTTGTTATATTGCAATTTTCCTGAAAACCTTCAGGAACACCAAAGGGGAGATAGGCAAGGCCTCGATCGTTGAATTTGTTATTCACAGCCAGCAATCCTAGGTTGTTTGTGAAATTTCTTAGCTGCATTGCCCACTTATCTTCACTGGCATATACCATACTGGCATCAATAAAGGCTGTGAGTGCATTGATCTGGTTGCGAATGGCATAGCCACCGTTGCACGCAGGAGCAGCCCGGGTAAAGGGGATGCACTTAAACTGCTTTTTTGAAGGATCATTGGGTGGGATCTAGGGCAAAAATATGAAGACAAGCTTAAATTCCCAGGTTCAAAAAACGTATTTGCTTTCTTCTGCCAAGTAGAGAAATATGCCACATAAAGGAATATCAAACACTTGCAGTTTTACACAGGTAGACATCATTATCCTCATGCTTTCCTTCTTTCTCGCATTAATATTTAAAAGGAACATATGACAAAATGGAGGCATGCTTGGAAAATGTATAAATATCATTCAATTCTGGAATGAGTTACTTTTGGTGATGGGTTTTAGACTTTAACTCATATCAATCTGAGTAATTATGATGTTTTGCTTTTCATCCAAGAAGCTTCTTCAGTTCTGACTGAATGGTGGAGAATGAAACTATTTATATTCCTTGCAGTCATCTGGTTGTTGGCACACCCTCTGAGAGTTGTTGAGGTCACCTGAAGGTTTATCAATCAGAACTGAAGAAGCTTCTTGGATGAGAAGTGAAACGTCGTCAAGGAAAAACAAAGAAAGTCCAGTTGCCTCTTGAAAAAGCACCTTTGGGACACTCATCCTGAATGTCTGTCGATAGCTGCTAATCCACGTAGAAGTAGATACAGAATTTCTCATACCTGGATTGGGAAACATGGTGGCCCTTTCACACAGCTGTTAATGCAATCTATTCCTTTTATGAAGGTGAGGGTCGCTGTTTCAGAAGGTCCAAAATCCAAATCATGATCGAGAAACTGCCCCCACTGCATAAACATGACTGAGCGGAAAGGATCATCTGTGAGGTTTACATTAGGAAAGAAGACGATGTCGTTGGATACAGCCCGGACCTGTTACCAAGAAATTATTATCAAGAGTGGCAGAGACAGAAGGAAAGAAAAGGGGTTTATGAAACCCCACCTGGAACAATTACAAATTGCTACATGCTAATTTAGGAGAAAGAATTTAAAGGTTTACTTGCAAAAACTGCCAATGAAATAATTTAAGACAATGGTTCTCAACAGACCCCTGGGGAGCCACAATGTCGTCATGGGGGGGGGGGAATCTATGAAGGCTTGAAGAAATGTTATGATTGAAATCATAACTTAGGTCTTCGGGGGTTTGTGGCCATGGTCCACAGCCACAAAAGATATTTAAAGGGGGTCAGTGATGAAGAAAAGTTTGAGAACCATTGATCTAGGAGTCTCCTTCTTGATGAAACAAGAGAGAGGAATGACTTCAAGATCTTCAGGCAGAAGAATTAAATACAAATGGTTGACACCCTGGAACTTCATTAAAAGCAGCTAATTAAAAGGACTAAATAAAACAGATTTATCAAATTATCTATTATCTAATCTTATTTTATTATTATATCAAATATAATATTATATGTTAATTATTAATATTAGATATTAGAATTTCAGGGGACTTATATATGGGACCTGCAATAGAACATTCCTGTCTGAAATGCTTCTGCTCAGCATCCAGTCAAATAGACCAGGCTTTTCTCAGGGTGCTTGGTTCTTTCACTCCCTTTTGTCAAAACTTCAGTGGCCTGCAGATGCTGAGCAGATTAAATGATCATGAAATTGTCTGGATTGCTTATTTCTGCCCTCTTGTTTATTCTTCCCTTAACTTTATTGTTGTTTCTCTCCTAGGGCTTACAAAATATTTTTATGTGCATGGTGCCAATGATGCATTCAACTTCCAGATCTCTACTCTTATGCTGGATTAGCAATTCCTTGATGCAATTTCTGCACAATACAGCCCCGGGCGTCAAGTATCTCAAGATGTTTCACTAAATGTATCAAAAACCTTTGGAAAGCAGGAGAAACCTTCAGTACAACAACGAATCATTCCATTAAGTAGAGAACCACAGAAGGCACTCAGTGACTCCTCCAAATTCAGCCCCAAGTTCAGTCCTCACCCCTTACGTTGTGGTAGTCAGACCTCCAAGAAATGTTAAATGTAGTACACTCTTGGAGTATGAAGTATGAGCATATATGGTTCATTTATGAAGAGCGTCATCTAGCGGGAGGATTTAAAAGACTTTGGTCACTGTATATTAGAAAAAAAAACATATTTTTTGGATGATGAAACTAAATCATCCTGGAAAGCACTGAGGATTAGTCAGGCTGGATGGCTGAGAAGGATGAAGCTATCACTTTTAACCAATTATTGCTACAGGGAAAGAGGGGAGAAATGAATTAGCCTTATTGGCAATATTTCAAGTGCCTCTCAATTTTCAACTTCCATTGGAAAAAAAGGGAGACAGTGTCAGCCGGTGCTTAAGAATACCCAAAAAGTTCAGAACTTCTGTCATCTTTTGAGCATGACAAAATATAAGTTTAAATATTTATGGTTATGATTTACCGTCATTTTTCAACTCCCACCTTTTAAGCAAATATTAATAAAATCCTGCCATAATAATTTGCTTTATTTATTAAATTTAGAGACCGCCCATCTCATCCTCAGAGCAACAAATTATGATAGACTTTCAAAATGTTAGATGCTATGTAGTGCCCCCTCCACAATATCTATGCAACAATTGTTTCTATTCATTGACCACACAGTTAATTCTCGACTTATGACCACAACTAAGCTTGACAATTGACCGCAATTTTTGATGCTAAGCAAGGCAGTTGTTGTGAGTTTTGCCCCATTTTACGACCTCTTTTGCTACAGTTGTTAAGCAAATCATTCCAGCTGTTTAAGTGAATCATTAAGCAAATCTGGTTCCCCTCCCCATTGGCTTTGCTTGTCAGAAGCTGACTGGGAAGGTTACAGATGGTGATCACGTGACCCCAGGACAGTGCAACTGTCATAAATATAGGCCAATTGCCAAGCAACCAAATTTTGATCATATGACCATGGGGATGCTGCAAAGATCATAAGTGTTGTAACTTCAAACAGTCAATAAATGAATGGTTGTAAGTTGAGGAGTAACTATATTACAAAGACAGCACAGCTAGCATGCTGACCTAGTAGGAAGTGATCACAATAAAGTCATTCAGATTGGTTTTTCAAAAAATATACCAAGGCCATGCTATAAATTACACTGTGTCTCCCTCTTAATTTGTCTTGTCTTTGAAATATAACAGACTAAAGGCCTAAGTTGTGGTTGTTCAGGGCTGCTCAGCAACTTGGGAGCCCAATGTGCACCATAGTTATTTGAATACTTGATATATTTATGTTATATCTTCAAAGTTTATTTAAACAAGTCAAGATTTGGCCACAATGAAGTCTCTGCCTTTTCATTTGCAAAACTACAGTATAAGATACGATTCTTGCCAGTTTCATGAAAATGCCACTCTATTCCTGTTTTCTATTGCTATAACTAGTGTACAAAAGCATTTACAGACCTTAAACTATACCTGGATCACTCCTGCTCTGACAGACAAATTTAGGACTCCTTAATACATTTCTGGCTATGATCCTTCAATTACATCAATTATCCCATTTCTCTAATCCCCTTGCCTCAACTCTTGGTCTCTTTCCTCCCCTTTTAAATGTTTTTATCTCTTAAAACCCTGGATCCGTTCCTCTGTTCAAACTAAGCATCCTGGAATTAAAGAGAGATAAGGACTGTGTCTTACTAAGGGCAGAGGAAATCCAGAATACAGCTTCGTTTCTGTCCAGCCACGTGGGAGAGAGACGCCATCTTCATATTCTTGTGGCAGCCACCTGACATATGGACGGTTGCTAGCTCCCAAAGTAGGAATTCTCCTGCAAATTTTCATTAAACCCAAAAGTTTGTTTAGAAGAGAGTTTTTAAGAGCAATAAGACTTGGTTTACACACAATGTTAACCCTTAAAATCCAGTAATAAAGCTCAATTGTACTCACACATGTTATGGCAAATACATCATCCATATTCTCATTAAATGTTCAGGTTTAGTTCCAGAAGAAAGTTCAATATAGGTAGTCCTCGACTTACGACAACAATTGAACCCATTTCTGTTGCTAAGTGAGACATTTGTTAAGTGAGTTCTGCCCCAATTTAGGACCTTTCTTGCCACCATTGTTAAGTGAATCACTGCAGTTGTTAAGTGGATCCGGCTTCCTCATTGATTTCCATTGCCACAAGGGCGCAAAAAAGTGATCACATGACCCCGGGACACTGCAACTGTCATAAATATGAGCTGGTTGCCAAACATCTGAATTTTGGTCATGTGATCATGGGGATGCTACAATGGTTGTAAAAGTGCAAAACAGTCATAAGTCAGTTTTTTCAGGGGTATTGTAACTTTAAACGGCCACTAGACAAACTGTTGTAAATTGAGGATTACCTGTATTTGGAGTCTCATATGTTGAATTACAGACTAAAAGATGCCTGGGTAACCAGCTTCTTTCTGAGGATGGTATACAAGCAAACTTCTTGGCAATGGGCATGTCATAAAAGTAATTTAGCTCTCTCTTTCCAGGAAGCTTTTTGAACTTCCTTGTATAGCCAATTATCCTGTATTCCACCCTAAATGGATCCAAGGTCACCCAAGATTGGCAGGTGTTGACATCTACTGCCAACTCCATTCTAGTATAATCCTAACTGAACAATAATAACTGTTCTACAGGGAAGAGGGCTGAGATCACGGACAGCCAGCTAGAGCGACACTCCACACTTGAAGAGAGCTTGTTCCTGATTCAGCAACTGATTTTATTCATCATGCTAAACTTTAATTTATTTAGGTTAGTTTGTGGGATAAAATTCAACTGATTGAGTTGACAGAACACATCTAGTTTGTAAGTGCCAACTTCAGAAATGGCACATTCTCCAAGGTCCCTTCCAGCTCTATTCTATGCTATGCTATGCTATTCTCTTATTACCAGTACTTGGTCAATGGTCAGAAACTGATACTACATTTTGTGCCCATTTTGAGATGTGTAATGGATGAAAACTAATGTAAGTCTTAAGTTCAACATCACCATTTTTTAAAGAAAGAAACCCATAATAGTATCCCCAAAATGTAAGATATCACCTTCTTCACTTAGCAGCCCTTAGCACTTAAAAACAACTAGACTAGGGTCTTGGCCACCAAAAGATTGTCCGTTTCTATTCTAGAATCATACAGGTTATTGCATTCGCCTGTAATGGTCCGGTAAGGGTTCTTCTCATCACACTCTTGGGTACTGATCTCTTGGGAAGCACATCCACTTGACTTGTAGATAGTTTGCATCTGGGAAGGGGAGAGCACATCTGTGGGAAAGCAAAGGGATTTAGACTTCAGGGCTGCAAAAAATGACAGAAGAATGCAAGACTAGAGTCACTTGCCTTCTGAATTATACTATAAAAACCAAAAGCAGGATTTATGTTTTGTAAGGATGAGAAAATTTAAAAGGTGAAAGTCTATGGAGATTCCCAGTCATCCAAGTCATGGTTGCCCAAAGGTGCTTTTTCCAAAAGTAACTGGACTTTATTTTTCCTTGAAGGCATTTTGCTTCTCATCCAAGAAGCTTCTTCGAAGTGAAGAACTGAAGAACAGAATTGAAGAAACTTCTTGGATGAAAAGCAAAACATCTTCAAGAAAAAAACAATGTCCTTTTGAAAAAATCACCTTTGGATTTTCCTTTTTCAGAGATGTTGGATAGCTATTAAATGATATTTAAAATCCAAAGGTTTTAGGAATGCAACCATTAAGTTACTGATTACTGTAGAGCAATTGGTTGGAGCTATTAAATGATATTTAATAGCTCCAACCAATTGCTCTACAGTAATCAGTAACTTAATGGTTGCATTCCTAAAACATGCTAAGCTTGGTTAATTTTAACTGGTTCATTTTTGTCTGTGTGTGAGGCTTAGCAGGTTATGTGGCTGTTCTAGGAGTCAAGGTATTATGCAAATTCAGAAAATGGGTTAAGTAGTAGCCAAGTTAAACATGTTGTTCAATAGCAGCAATCTTGAACTCTTCAGGTCAATCTGTTGCTCAATGTAGGATCTGCAAAGCAGAATACAAGTATAGCATCTCTGAAGCATGACTGCTTGGGTGGTCCTTAAATGACTTTAAGGTAGAAGAGCCCACCACTTCCCATCACACGTCTATAGAGATTCTCTGCTGATGTTTTCTGCACAATGGACATAGGGCAGAAAAATCCTGCAGAAAGCACAGCTCCACAACATAGTCCTTTCAGCAGTTCCAAGAAGGCTCCACAACCATTTGCACTATTCAGGTGACCCTGAGGACACAAACAAACTCCCAAGTGGCCTCAATGGCTCTCTAAAAGTATGCAAATGGCCAGCTGTCTGCAAGGAATATAAATCTTTTCATTCTCAATCATCCAGTCAGAGCTGAAGAAGCTTCTTGGATGAGAAGCGAAACATCTTCAAAGAAAAACAAGAAAATCCAGTTGTCTCTTTAAAAAAATATATCTTTGGGACAACCATCAAATGATGTTCCATTGATTAGCACCTCTTACAGGTTTTTGTGGGGTTTTTTTGTAAGCCCCCAATCTTTTTTTCTTTAATTTCTATCCATTGATCGGAGTTCTCCCTTAAGAACACTCTACCCTAGCTTCTCCTATCAATTTGAAGATCCTCTCTTCTCTAAATTTAAAGATACCTATCCCTTGGGTAATGTTAATAAATAAGAGTTAATTTTTAACTTCCCACCATCTTAATCATTCTTCTCTGGATCATCTCCAGTTTCCCAATTTTCTTCTCAGCATGTAATGTTCTTATAGGCTTTGGTAAAACACTATAAAAGTAATATAAATATAGGTATATCAGCATTAAGGTTTCTTTGTGCCGTACCTTGCAGAGATTTGTTTATTTTTGTTTATATTTCATATTTCTAAACTTCCCATCTCTTTTAAAGAAGGGCTCTAGACAATGTTTTAATTCAATCTCATGCATTATTATGCAACTGAATCTACATAATACATCACAAAACTATTGAAAATGATAAAGAAAAAAAAGAGTCTTCTTGATGTATAGGACAAGATTTGAGAAAAAAAGACAATCAAAAGCATTCTCTGAAAAGATTTCCCATGAAATTCTTATGAAGACAGATGCTTCCATATAAAATATTAGCTTAATACAAACAATCATTATTCATGTCATTTTTGATTGCCCCACCCAATCATCAACTGACATCTAACATAAAATGATTAAATTCTTAGATTAAAAAAAATCTCTTTTGCTTCCTCTTTGAAGATGATTGGCCAAGAAATGTACTGTACATGTATTCTGTGGTCAAAATGAATGAGTAAATCTGTTAATTCAGTTTCTTCTCAGTTCCTCATATTTAGTTCATCTCATTCTTCTACAACTTTGAGATATTTTTAAAGAAAAAAATAGATTGCAGTCAACTTTTAATGCATTCTTTTTCACATTTTCCCAAACCATACAGTTTTTATCTACAATTTTGACAAATGCACATAATGTTTGCAAACAATTTCCCCTAATAAATCTGTAGTGCACCTCTATATATATCTTTCCAGGAATGGATGTATTTTCCTACAGAGTTTTCCTTCATATAGGTTTGCTTTCCAGTAGGGAAACTGTATTACAAGAACTAGAGAAGGACAAATGCTAAAGGACAACCTAGTTTCCATGAGATGCTAATGTGTGAGGCTGAATACCTATGAGCACCATTTGATATTTTAAAAGCTTATACTATAAACATTGGGGTTGGAGTTTTCAAAATGAAACACCCAACATTAGTTTTGATTTGTCTGTGGTAAGCTAAGCCACTGCAGAAGTTGTGATGTGCAAATAGCAAAGAATGTAAATTAAGCATGGAAGAAAACCCAGCATTTTATTTTCCTTCCTTTTGGTTACTTTTTTTTTGTTACTTACGGTTACTTTTTTCTGCCCACCCAGCAGATTGAAAGCACACAAATGCAAGTAAATTAACAGATACCACTTTGGTGGGGAAATAACAGCATTCTGTGTGCCTTTGGCATATAGCCATGCTGGCCACATGACCACAGAAAATGCCCTTGGACTATGCTGGCTCTCTCCGCCAAGAAACGAAGATGAGCACCGTGCCCTGGAGTTGGACACAACTGACAAGGAAACTTTTACCTTTACTTTTGGTTTGTGTATTCGTTCAAAGATGCAAAATACCTGTGATATTGAATTCCTGAGGAAATACATCCTGCAGCTTCTCTTTCAAGAGGTCCAAGGCCACCAGCCTATATTGAGCAGCTTTCACATGCGACCGAGTTTTTCCTACAGGTCGTCTGAAAGACACTAGGATATCTGAAGGGCGTACTGTCTCTTTCCTTAGTTTTTCTTCTAACCTGGTGAATCAGAAAATACCTATATCAATACTGCAGAATGAAAGTTTTTCCTCCCACAAAGTGTCTGTTACAATGACCCAGCCAGAGATGCTAACTTGAGAGGCAGAGACTGCCTGATGTTATCTAATGAAATCTAGGGATGAACTACGAGGGCTTCATAATCCTAATCTAATAGTTTACATTTCTTCATGTCATCATTCGCCCTTTGATTTCTTCCTATTGCCTAAAATGGATTTGAGTATGCAAGGCTTCTGTGCCTCTAATGATGGGCAGGCATGCCTGTTGGTATTTTTATTCCAACTGTATGCTGCCAAATCAATGTCATACCGTGGGATTCACAATCACAATGAACAATAAAAATATCCACAATGCAAAAGCTGTAGCAAAACATGCACAGTAAAGATACGGAATAAAAACAGGAACAGCTGGAATACTTAAATCAGTTTGTAACTGGCAGAAATAGCCATGTTTTCTAGATGAAACAAAATGGCACATTGCCTGTATTTTTGTCTGAACTTTCACATGGAGAAGTCATCTAGTAAACAACGCAGCAAATTTTCATCAAATAGAGTAGATGGAAAAACCGCAAAATAAATCTGGCTTCTGGAACTTTTGTGCAAAATCTTACCGGTTCTGGGTATATTCATAGGCAGCATCTACTAATTTCTTGGCTTCTTCCACATTCTGCAGAAGGAATCGGGTTTCCAGTTTCTTTGCAATGTCTAAAAGAGACACTTGGTTTGGATTTTGTTGAAGGAGACACTTCAATCAAATTCCACAAAAACAAACTAATGAGAATATAGCTTCGCTAACCTGATCCATAATCTGAATTCTAAGTTACATTTCAGCATATCTAGAAGCCACCAGCTTGGAGAAGCCCTGTTGTGATATCAATAGTATATTTCTTTAAATAATCATTTATTAAAATTGATTCTGTGCTCACATAGTACTTTTTTAAACCTTGTCAGTTACTAATGATATGGATGTGTGTCTGAGATCTACCAGGAAAAGCTTACACAGGTCATGCCTATGTAATAGGTTGTTAAGGGTGTGTATTTCTTGGTGGTCCTTCTCTATACTGTAATACCACCAAAGATTTGGAATAGACTCTAAACATGAGTGTTGATGTAGGGAATGTAGGACGGCCCATGTGTCGTATGCTTTCATGCAAATGATATAAATTAGATTCAGCATTCATGTAATTTGGCATGTACCAATTCCATCATTTTCACAGAGATGCTATGATGCACAGACATCATCCTGGCAACCACTAGAAACTTCTGCTTCCAATGAGAGTTCTCTGCAAGGGAGATCAAAATAATCAGGATAGCAGCCACACAATTGAGAGATGAAATCCATGGATGTTACAGCCAGCAAGGTTCAGAAATACTGCCTTAGGGATATTTTCCACCAAGAAAGGAAATGCAGACTGAATTTCTGCATTGGTTCAAACATTAGCAAATTATCTTTAAATAATCATGTCTTTTCCTGCTGCAGTGAATTGATCACATGGAGGCAATCAAAACACATTTGTTCCTGCAGGTTGTTCTTAAATGATGAAAAAAAATGAATTTTTACAAAAAATGCGGACACAGGCAGACCTCTACAGACATTCCAACTCTATTTTAAAAAGCATTTCTAAAGTGAAAGACCTTACCTTGTAAAGAAAGGTTATCTGCCTCTTGAGGCTTTACTGCTATTAGAATACCCAGAAGAACAAAGACCAGCCTCAGCCCTGGAAGAAAGCATAGGTTTCATGTGAGTTACTTGCAGATCATTTGGGAAAGTAATCTTTAACTGTCAAATTGAATTTTAATATAAATTTGGAATGTCAGAAGCCAGTTACTCTAGATCCACACACTTGGACAGGACAGTATGTGTGTATAAAAATACTTGCCCTAGATCTGCAATCTTCTTTCCTTTCACCCTTCTAGGAAAAATCTGGATCATCCATAGGTGGATCATCCACAAATAGGGTGGTCACCCTATTTTCTCCAGCCCCTCTTATATCCCTCTTGAAAAAATATTGAAATAAAAATCTCCACCCCCCCTTATAAAAACATAAGCCCCACAATTGTGTTATCTATGGTTTTCTTGTTTTCCCTCCTTCTGTCTTTCTTTCAGTCTCTCTCCATTGTTTCTGCATACAATAGCAAGAAAAAAAATCTATTTCTCCTTCCTCTTTGCCCCTAGACATATGACAGAGAAAATTCCCAAAGTTGTTGAAATCGCTGCCACAGGAACTAAACCTTGAATGACTGTGAAACAGATCACAGCAACGCAAAAAGAAGAAGAAAATTGTAGGGCTGGCAGATGTTTAGAGCCCTAAACGAGTCAGAGCAAGTGCATTCTGCGAAATAGAGGAAGGTTGTGAGACAGTCATTCTCAGGACAGCAGATGTCAATCACAGTCACAGTCAGAAGAGCATGCTGTATATGCACTTTCTTTGTTTTAGACCATTTCTGCACTGACAGTGTAGAACATCTTCATAGCATCACCCAGGCATTGTTGAAATCATGTAAAGCTCTGTCCATAGTTAATTATTGTGACCCAATTATGATAGGATGATTACCAATTATGATAGGATGACTACCAATGACTACCAGGAGGAACCGCCAGGAGTCACCTTGTAGGGTAGATGGACAGCTTAAAAATTTAATAAATAGGATAAATGACTGCAGCTGGCACTATAATTTGCTATTAGGCAAAAGAGTGAGTCATGTTATTTAGCCATAAAAATATCAAAGAATGGTACATTGTTCTTCACGAACAGACTGCAAAGTTCCTAAGCCTATAAAATTATAATAAATAATTTTATTTGCTAAAAGAAAAGTTAAATACAGAAGGTTTTTGTTATACACTAGAAATATCACTCTGGAAATATTTAAAATATTAACACTTGTACCTATGATCATTCCATAAATATTCACAAAAGCTTGAAATACAAGGTAGTTTAGCCTTATTGGCATGTAGATACTTTGCTTCTATCCTGTTTGTCAAACTTACCTAAACCTCAAAAGCCTGCAATCAGCCCTGATTGAGCAAAAAGATGGAGAAAAAAGACTTCTTTTTATACTGTCACTTAAAGATGCAGTGGTTCTGTTTCCCACCATAGTTTTCCTAATCAAAACAGAATGACTTCATCCAATTTGATGCTCTCCAGATACATTGAATTACAATACATGCTATCAGAATAAGAGCTGTAATCTAATATATCTGGTGGCCATCCAGTTGAGGAAGGCTGATATAGGGGAATTTACTAGTCAAGGAGATCTAATATAAAATGGAAGAAATGGAGAATACTCAAGTCCATAAGGTAGTTTCTGAGCAATGCACTAAAATAATTAACTTTAAGAAATATTTCAAAATCACTTACTTCCCATCTTCTCCAGTTCTGACCTTAGCTGCCTGGAAATCAAGTATTTTCTAAAAGATGGGAGGAGCCATTTACAACAGAAAAGTCACACCCCTTTTCTTTTTCCCTCCTTTCTTAAGACACATCCTACTGATAATGCTCTGAAATTGTAGGAGAGCCATACAGCAGCTTTCCTAGGACTTTAGATCCTCTCTGCAAAAGTCCAGAGGATTATTAAAATAAATAAATTTCTCTCTGCCTTTTTGCTATAATGGTGGTCCAGAATTTTGCAGGTCAGATTTGGTGTCCTACGTTTCCCCAGCCTGGCATGCTTCTGATGTGCTGCAACCCAAATGCTTCTGGAAAGTACCTGGTAGGCTTTGCGGGAACAGAGCTACAACTCAGTTCAACTCAAGATACTTTGAGTTGAAATGAGCAAGAATCTGGTTGAGAATCTATGTGAAAAACAGGATCAAGACACAGCTGAGCATAGCAGACATTGGGAAGTTGGGTTTGAGGTACCAAAAGCAAAAATCAATTGTTCTGCAAGATCAGGAGAGGGGTGGTGTATGCACTTCCTTTGCTGGAGGAACCCCACCGAGAACATTTAAAAAAAACACTGTGGGAGATGAAAATATAGTCCCCTCCTCATATAACAAGATGAGGCTGGAGCAAACCTGAACTTTATATACTATTTCACAATACGAACGTACTATTTGTAATCTGCATATTTGTGCAATATGAAATTGTGAAGTAGATAGTTCTATGTATATTTGGAACATGAGTATTGTAACAGTGGGAAAAAGTCAGCGGACTATCTGACTACAGTCTTAGAACGAGAAAGGGTATAAAAGGTTGGGACTGAACCTGATTGATTTGCCATTGTCCTATAGCTGTCCTATTGGATTCTGCTATGTCATATGGTCCTCATTGCAATGGGTTATTAATGTACGTGATGATGTGTTATTATGCTTGTTATGTTCCAAATTATTAGCAAAATAATTGGGTTTTTCTACAACAACACACAAAAAATGAAGGTGAATATACATGTCCCAGTATAATGTTGCAGGAACCTGAACTACTGCCTTTTTTATTGGCTTTTAGTTGCGGATGTTAAATGTAGATAAGTGTTTTATGACAAAGGTGGGGCCTTTTAGAACAGGTTACAATGTTTGATATGAGAGCAAATGTAATGTTTTATAGTAATCAGACGAATTTCCCCAACATTTTTCTTTCCCTTTCTGCAATTCCTGTGAACTCCCTGCCAAAGCCTTTGAAACTTAGGAAGGATGCAGATTTGGGAAACTCTTACAGATAAAGAGCAATAAATATTAAATCAACCTTTGATTTGATTCTTAGATATAAAAAAATATAACCAAGATCTATATTCATCTCATCCAGTATCTTTTGGAAGAATCTTTAATAATCCATTAGTAATCAACCGCAATAAACCTGCCAGCATACAATATGTTGGTGGAGAGGCTGAATGATAAGACTTGCCCAAATCACACTCAAGAAAATTTCCTTTTTTTAAAAAAAAAACAAATTTTATTGGTTTTTTAAGTTCTTAAGGCGAACAGGCTATGATGGATACTCCAGACTAACACTGATCATATCTGCCAAACCGCAATGGACCAGCATGGCAGATTATGGTCTATTCCTTCCACATGCCTATAACATCAAAAACAGCCCTCACTTAGGACCGTATTGGTTGGAAACATGTAGAAGAGGCCTTCATCCTGCAGTGGATAGACAATGGCTAAAATGATGAATTCCATTCTATATATTGGTAACCTGAAGCTATGATTAAAAAATAATCAAGAGGATGGTCGCAACAGCATGAACAAAGCTCCACCTGCTTTTTAATCCCCTAATGATGTCCTAAAGAACTATTGGAGCTTCAATCTCATCACTGCAGCCACCATCCTGATTTTTGTACCCCACTCCAAAGACACCCTGCTTACAGGGAAGTTGCCATTTGGAAGTGTGCAAATTATTTTGCATAGGATTAGAAGCTTTTTTTTAAAAAAAAAAATTCTAACATTAAGACAGTATTTAATGGGTGGATTCTTTATGTTTAATGCTAATTTATTTGATATTTGGATCATTTTTTTTCCTTTTTGGCACACAATTATTTCCCTTTTTGTTGTTAGTATTGGAGTTTTTCTGTTTTGCATTTTATTCTTGTTGATAAATAAATAAATATATATTAAAAAATACATTATGCAATTTTTGTTTTTGCCTTTAATAAATTGGCTTCCAGATGTTGCAGACAGAATACCAGACAGGAGTGTAATGTGGCTACACTCCTGACTTCTTATATTCATACTTAGGAATATAAGTATGATTTTTATATCCCAAAAAGCAACATTTCAGCTTCTTTTGATATTAGTTAACAGTCTTCAAAGAGTTTCTTAGTTTTTAGCAGCATACTCTAAGAAGTATTGCCACCTTCAAAGAGTTTCTTAGTTTTTAGCAGCATACTCTAAGAAGTATTGCCACCTTCAAAGAGTTTCTTGGTTTTTAGCAGCATACTCTAAGAAGTATTAAGAGGCTGGCAGCAAGGATGGACAGAAGCTAAAGACTATTAAAAGAAATTGAAGGAGCTTTCTTTTTATTATTATTATATTTTTTATTAATTTTTTACACAAGCATAAGTCATTTAATAGTTGGTAAACAGTGTGATGTCTGGGTTACATTTGTAAAAACAGTCCTTAACAATTAATTTCTATAGTCTGTATTCCATATATTAATTTTGTTTACTTTCCTCTTACCCTAAATCATCCTTTTTTGCAAACATTGTGTTAATACAATTCTTGTTGTTTTAATGAATGACAATTTAGTATATATTTTTTCCAATATTCCTAAAAAAATAATCATCATATTAATACATTTCTTTTATTTCCATTCATTTGGATTGCCTTATCATCAATCCTGTTACAGTCCTTATTTTAGTTTATTTCTCCCACCAAATTCTAAGTATTTTTACTGGTAAAGGTTTTCTCAGCGATTTAGTTAGATTTACATTGACAGATTTTATTTTATTTTTTCCATATAAGCCATCTCACATTTTTACATTTCTTAAGTATTAAATATAAGAATAAAAAGAAATGGAAAAAGAAAAAGAATGAAAAATAAATAAATAAAAAAGAATAGAGGAAAGCAGTAATAACAGAACATAGGAAATAACATAGTACTTAAAATATATATCCCTCCTAGATTGATAGTATTTATTTTGTCTAATTTCTTATTCTTTTTAATCATAGTTAAGAATATATTTAATCTTTAAACATTCTATTCAATAAATCTAGTCATCTAATCCTTTAACTCTAATTCAAAGCATTTTGTGTGTGTGTGTGTGTGTGTGTGTGTGTGTGTGTGTGTGTGTATGTTGGTCTTTGGTTGTTCGGGTTTTCTCCCGCGTAAAATTGGAAGTGTCTTGGCGACGTTTCGACGAAGTCCCATTCGTCATCTTCAGGCTGGTGTTTTCAGCTTCGTGGTTCGAGCAGCAATGTGTGGTCTTAGCTGTTTCTTCCTTTTAACTGCCAGTGGGGGTATGAACTGATTGGGTGAGAGCTTGGCTGTGTTCTGATTGGGTGGAGGTGTGTTCTGATTGGTTAGGGGCTTGGCTGTGCTCTGATTGGCTGGGGGGTTGGCTGTGCTCTGATTGGCCTCATCTTCATGGTGGGTGTCAGTTTGCTTCATGTATGGATTGGAGGGGTTTAAAGTGGCTAATGATGCAGCTGTGGTCTGGCTTCTGGTTTGTGGTCGTGCCTCATCATCAGTGTGGCTTTGGGTTTGCTTTTTGCGTGGATGTGTGGTTGTGACATCCTGTGTGGTTTTTGTGAGTGTGGGTCTGGTGTCATTTTTTGTGTTAGGGAGTCGTTTGTCAATAAGGGCGGGTTTCCAAATGGCTGGTAGGCGGGAGGTATCATCTCGCTTGTCCATGCTGTGTGGGCGTTTTTCTATCTCGATGGCTTCTCTGATTATTCTGTTATTAAAATGTTCACTTTTGGCAATGGTTCTGGTATTTTTAAAGTCAATTTCATGTCCTGTGGCTTTAAGGTGTTGGACCAGGGAAGATGTTGGTTCCTCTTTTTTGACTGAGTTCTTATGTTCTTCAATGCGTGCACTTATTCTTCTGTTGGTTTGTCCAATGTATGTGTTGGGACAAGCAGTGCATGGGATTTCATATACTCCTTGATTTTCTAACTCAATTTTAACCAACAGCTGGAGAAGTTCCCCAAATATGGGCTCCAGCACGAGTCTGAAAGCTTGGAAGACAAAAGCTTTGGTCCTGATGACCAACCCAGATTGGATCCTGCAACCCCCCCCCCGAAGCTTTAAATGTGTAGCATGATATTTTATGTCTAAAAATATATCAATTCTTCCATACTCATTACATTAGTCCCTTTTGGAGAAGCAACTTTATGCAAATTTTAGAAAAAGAGTAAGATATAATGGACAAATAAAATAAAATAAAGGCAGGAGATGGAAGCAATGGAAACCTAAACCTAGTTTATGCCAACCCCATTCACTCTTTTTCTTCACTATCATTGTTTCCACCCTTTTCCATAGACCACTCCCTACATTCTTTAAATATCTCATCTCTCCCTTTTTCAGTATCATGTTCATCACATGTAATCATGATCTTCCTTTTTCTCTGAACACATTTCCTCTTTCTTCATATATTTGTTTTACATTTTGATCCTTATTAGCACTCTTTCTGACCAAGTGAAGGAAACGATTGGTCCATTAGTGGATGAAAGTGGCAAGAAGGTGACAAGCAACAGGTAGAAAGCAGAACTATTTAACTCGTTTTTTGCATCTGTCTTTACACAAAGGGAAAAAACAGACCAACCTATCAAAAATAGTGCCATAAAAAAACAGAATAGAAATACAAGTTAAGATAGGCAAGAAAATGGTAAGTGAGCACCTGTCCAGCCTAGATGAGTTCAAATCACCAGGACCAGATGGATTACACCCCAAGGTTCTCAAGGAACTGGCAGATGTGATCTCAGAACCACTGAACTATATTTTTCAAAGATCTTGGAGCACTGGGGAACTAACA